TTTAAAAGCTCAGAGCATTAATGACTTCTTTCCTAATCAGCGGGAACTGAATTTAGCAAGTCTTCACAAACCTGGGGCAAGCAGATGTAGCAGATAGAGCAACCAAAAATCAATACACTTGAAATCACTGTATGATTTTGGAATGTGTTTGCAGTGGGGGAGAAAGAAGGTGATGTCCAGAAGGTGCTTTAAATGTCAAACATGATATTTGCAGTTTGATTTTATTTTTATTGTTTTAAGTATAAACATACTTTAAAGTCTAAATTACTCTTCAGTAATAAACACTTATATGTGAATATAATAATACCAGAGGTGTTTTTCATTTGATATTGCCTTTATTGAAGTCTCGTTGGCTTAAGTGATAAAATTAAGATCTTCCAAGGGGAAAAACCCTCAAAAATGAGACATTTAAATGAATGTATGCTTGGAAAGAATAATGAAATACCTGTGCTGCTAACCTTTTCCTTTTTGAATTATAAAATATAATAAGATCTACAGCATTTCAAAGATCTAAAAATGTGGTTTTGAATGTTTTATTTAAAGAAGTATTTTTATATAGAGTGTTCTTATATACCTTGAAAAATAACTTTAATGATTATGTAAAAATTTTACTAATGGTTATATCAGCAAAATATAAATCTAAGCATTGTATTTATTTGAAAAATAATTAAAATTCTGCTACAACCAGCAATGAAAGATTTGTCATTCTCTTGTGTGATACTGATAGCAGCCTCACTTTAAGAAATCAGAGTTAATATTTTTCTTATCTCTGTCATTGACACTGGCTCAAAATCCACATAATTCACGCGAGGGGGAGCTCTGGGCTGCCAGGGAAGAGAGTGCAGCTGGGCAGGATGGCTGCAGGGGCCCTGTGGAGTGGCAGGGGAGGCTGCTGGCCTGCTCCCCAGCAAGGTGGAAGCCCAGCAGGGCCTCTCCTCACTGCCAGAGGAGGAGGTGATGTTCCTCACCCTGGGCCTGGGCTGGGCTTTCTGTGCTCCTGGGCAGTGGGGACCGCGTGGGTGCTGCATGTCCTGGGCTGGGCTCAGGAGAGAGAAGTCCATGAGATCAGCTGAGTCAGCTCTCAGAGATTCTCATGGCAATCATCACAAACTTTGGGAAACTGGTGATTTACCAGTTTGATTTGCCAGTGTGATTTACCAGTTTGATTTACCAGTGTGATTTACCAGTGTGATTTACCAGTGTGATTTACCAGTTCCTTGTCTCCAGAGGCCCAAGATGACCCAGGCGGTTCCACTGGAGTTAAGCCACTTTGGGAGCTGTCCTAGGCACACACTGCTTGTCAGGGGCACAGCACATCTTCTTCCCAGGACTGATCCAAATAAGGTGCATCCTAAATTGAAGCAAAATCTCTTCCCACACACAATTCTTTAATTTTTTCAGCCAGGTCCTGTTAGCAGGGGATTAACATCTAAATCCCTGCCAGTGCATGTTTTTGCAGCATCAGGAGCAGTTCATCTCCCTATACATGTCCTTACAGGCAGCACCTTGCCTTCCGGCCTACTGCTTCTGGGAGATTCACAAATTCCCCATCCCACAATGCAGTTAAGTGCATTTGACATGTAATGGTTAAATTTTTGCTAGACCCAAACATAGACATAGGGTTTACTGAATGGAAAAGTCAACTGCAACTCTCTGGGGTTGGGCTGTAATTCCCTCCAGTCATTTATTGGATGGTCACTTTCTCTGCAGTTTATTTTACTGTAAGCAGTCAGCCATGTATAAGGTGTTGAAGTTCGTAGAGTTTTCTTCTGTTACAACTCTTTGCTGTCATGTGTTCCCAAACTTTTGCTACATCTCAAAGGAGGAGGAATCCTTCAGTATATTGTGCTCTCCTGAGCTGATGAATTTCCCATTGTTCAAAAGCACTTTTTTTTTTTTTTTTAAAGCTGCAGCAAAAAGTGGGGGCAGTATTTGGAAAATGTTCTAATAAAATATGAAAGTTTTGAAGTATGTCAATAATGATCAACATCCCACACAGCTCAGCCCATACAGCCTGTCAGACTGAAGAAATGAGGAGTCCTTAAGGACAAAGCCAGATCAGTCATATCTGAGTGCATCCACACAAAGGATACTGGGGCTTGTCCTGTGCTGTTGATGTCTGAAAGCTCCTTTAAATGCAGGCACTCTGATCTGCTTCTGATTTACTGGTGTGGGGGGATGCAGGGCCAGATTGCAACTATGAAAATCCCTATCCTTCACACTTCTGAAATTTTGGAGAAGGACGTGGCTTTCCTTTTGATAAAAGGCCTAGAATTGTCTTTACAAGGACATTTTAAATTGTGTAATTGCTAAACTCAGTAAATTGGTTACCCTGTGTGTTCCCACAAAGGGCACCTGAGTGGTTTTCCTTTGTGAAAATGGTCTTGAAGAACACTGATAAATGATACAATAATGTTCCTTACACCTCCTTTTCCTCCTCTCTCCTCCTTCCCCTCATGCATGTGCTGTAGGTATGTTTGGAGTTGCAGGGGCTGTCTAGGGTCTAGTACAGCACGTGGATTGTGCCATAGTATTACTGCTCCTCTGAGGAGCAGGAGTAAAGGAAATACTGAGAGATTTTGTTTCTTTTGCTTTCAACAAGCAGTGGTAATTTCCTGAACTGTTCATGTAGCTCTTGCATACAGAGATGTACCAGAATGTCCACAACCATCAGACAGTGGGACCTCAAGGGTCTTGCCTATAGTGGTCAAATTCACTGCAGATTCCGTGGCAGTGACCAGGGAGGCCATTCCCCCAGCTTCACCAGGGCGCTATTGCTCTGCAGGGGCCCAGCTGCCCAGCCCCAGAGCAAATTAACTATCCTCAATTAACCCAACACTTGGGTATTTCCAAAGTCTGGCTCAGTCGACTCCTGTTGTGTTTAGAAAAATCTAGGTCAGCATGAAAAAGAGGCAAAGCAAGACAAAATATTGAGATTCTGAGAAGTTTTTCATCACTCCCTCACAAAAATGAGCTACAGCCCTGAAGGCTTCAGAAGTTTGTGAAAATGGGTGGGAGACCTCTCACTGCTTCTGTTCAGGCTCAGCAGTGTTTCTGAGCTGATGTTACATGTCCTGACCCTCATCCACACATCCAGATCTCCTCAACAAAGCTTGATTTGAACAGTGATTTGCTAGACATGCTGGTCCAGATAACTTGTCTTGAAGGCATAAATTACACTCATTTCCATATATTATGATTTAAGGGTGAAAATGGATCTGGGTGGTTTCTTTGTTTTCTTCCACAACAAAGCTACTAAGCAATCCCAGCATAAAAGTACTGCTTTAAGTGATGTGGTTGTGACTTGCATGAAATAATTTATTTTGATCACCAATTCAGGTCAAATAAACAACGAATGTGGGTTGGTTTTTTATATGTCTAGAAAAAACAGGCTTGGTTGCTTTAAATTTTCTTGGCATCTACTTTACATTGTTAATATAATGCATACCCAGTCTTGCACTTAGCTTTCATAGCAAAGGTTGGGTTTTTTTTCCTCTTTCCAATTTGAAATGGGCATTTATTTTTCACTGCTGTCACCAGCCCAGCTGGCAGAAATATCCATCCTGAGAAACTTTTATTGATGTCATCTCCATCATTTCCTGATGATTTACCTTCTTATTTTGTGGTCTTTTTCAAAAGTAAAAGCTCTTCTGTATGTTTCATTTGGGTTCATTCCTCTCAGTGGGAAGCAATATTTTAAAATATTTTGTTACAGTGAATTTCTTGATTTACAAGTGTTTTCCTCTGGCAAGCAGGGTGGGTTGGGTGCTGCTGGGGATGGTTTGACACCCAGCTCAGCCTTTGGGAAGACAGGGTACACTTCTGCTGCCCTGCCCTTCTGTTGCGTAAAGGGCATTTTGATTGCAGTGGAAAGAAGAGTTGCTCTAAGTGATTAAGAGTGATCCTTTATTGCTGCTATTGGACTAGCCTGGAGAAATGCTTGTGTCTGTTGTAACCAGCAGCGTTTCCAGCCTGTCAAAGCCAGGAATGTGTGTCTTTGTGAGCTGAGTGTGGTGCCAACCTGGATTTGTGCTCCTGATAGCTTTTAAAATAATTTTGTAACATATTAAGGGTATGTTTATCTTACTGTGATGTTACAGGCACTATAAACACTTACTCAGAAATGGTATCTCAATATTATTTTTGATCTTGTCATGCTGTGGGTTTCTTCCTTTTCCTCAAGGCCAGTCAGCTTATCCCATACTCCTCAGGTTTGCAGTTGGGATTGTGTTGTGAAGCCTCCAAAACTTTATCAAACAGGTATCTGTGCTGTTTACAGCTCTGGGACAGAGGCTGGCAGCAAACACTGGTTGGCTTTTGTTTTGAGTTTTTATTTTTACAGGTTTTCTGTGTTTTTTTAAAACAAGTGTTAAAACTGAACTGCTGAAAAGCAAAGGCTAGGGAAAGTGTGTGAAGGTAGATGAATACCTGGGAGTTGCATTTTTTTGCAAAAAAAAGCAAAGCTGCAAAATCTTTGATAAGCAAGGCCCAGCAACCTTCACAGTGAAAGCTGCTGAAATCTGTCATCCTTAACAAAAAAAATTCCCAGAGAGGCTTCTAACAATGGTGCTGTGCCTGGCTAAAACTTGTTCTGACTTGATAATTTTTTTTAACTAAAGCACTACATAACTTTTTCTACTCTAGCTTCCTACTGTAGCTTCCTTGGGCTGCCCTAAGGAAGCTTTGCCATCGCCAGTCTAAAAGGAAGCCTGTCTAATTAGGGGGAGTCTAACAGGATGTAGTTAACATCTCACAGCTGTGATTTACCTGTAGCCATCCCACAGCCCAGTGGAAAGGCTGAGACCGAGCCTGACCAGTGCTTGGAGGGCAACCTGGCCATGGGAGGGGAAGGCAGCATAGTGTTGTGTCAGTGATGGGACTCCAAAAAGCTGATCCTGGATGTTGCAAGTGTGAACACTGATAATGGTGGCAAGAAGGTTTCTATGTATTTTGTAGGGGCATTTTATTTCTAGGATGAATTAGAAAGAAAAACAACTTCCTCACTTTTTAAAAATCTTTATTCCAGGGTCACAGACTAAGACAAAAGGTTACACAGTAAAACGAAGCTCAGGCTCTTGACATTCCTGTTGGATTTATAGCCACAGAACAGGTTTCTACTTCTCTATAAAATATTTAAGTTAACAGTTTGCCATTAAACACAACAACAAAACCCAAACCACAAAGAAACCACCATGTCAAACCCTTCAGTTCTCCGTGCTTTTAGTACCCACTGAAAGCAAAAACTTCATGTACCTGTGCTTGAATAAGGCTTCCCACATTGAAGTATTACAGTCTGTAGGTACTGCACTGGGCACAAAGTTATTCATTACTGCCTTGTGGAGATCTTAGAGGTACAGAAACAACCTTTTCTTACCCTTTCTTCCAGAACAGTATCATGGCAAGCAGTATGATAAAACTTCTCCCTGCACCAGAGTTAGTACTTCAAATAGTTATTCCTTTTAAAAGTGCTAAAACTACACAGGCTAAATTCTTGTTCAAATATTCAAAAGTAAAAGACAATCTGATGGAAGACTCAAGACTCACTACACATACGGGAAATACTCTTGAGGGGTGCTTATGATGGTCTCTCAACCTTAGGTTTCAGAAGACCAGCATCTGGGAAACAGTGCTATATGTTTATTCACTATGTCTAATTTCATTCCCAAATATCAACTTTTCAGCTAGATTTTTGAGCAATATTTTTTTTTCTTTGGATAATAAATTACTTTACAAAAAAGCTGCCCTCAAAGCTACTTTATACTATAGTAACTTGTAACTTAAAATCTTCATTAAAAGATGAGGTCACGCTGCATGAATTTTAAGGCACTTGTATCAAACCCAGTTAAAGTGCTTTATGTATCCAAGCTCACTGCACCTCAGCCTGAGCTGAGACGTGGTCTTTTCAATGTGCCTGCAGCAGTACAGTGGTCTGTCCTCTGTGGAACAAAACAAGGAGACAAAGCAAGTACAAAGAGTAGGCTTTAACAACAACATCAGTCCAATAGAGAAAACATAGGTAAATTTAAATCTTATTACAAGACAGGTACAAGCTGCCTTGTGGCTGTCAATAACCCTCCCTGTTGTAGAAGAACAATTCTCCTCATGAAAAGGTAATTTATCAATCACTGCTACCAGCTGTCAGTGACAGAGTTTACATGTCAAAATCTGCAAAGGAGCAACTTACAGCTTCTTGCATAATAAATAGGATTACAATTTGGCAGTACCAAGACTGCAGGGCTGATTTTCTGCTGAACTATCCACAGGGCCCTGGGAATTCTAGTTGTTGCTTAGTAAGAGGAGAGTTGCTTGGGGAGAAGGGCACTGCATCATGCAGCAGGAATGTAGTTTAGCTAATTAATTACAGCACCTAGACATGTATGTGGGGGTCTTTTCAGAAAAATGAGATGAAGTATGTGAGAAGTGACTTCTTCCATTGTCTTCTAGTACTGCTTCTTGGCTGCAGGCTTGTAAGACACCAGGAGACCAAAGGAAGCATATCCAAATAAAAGGGTCTGAACGAACCATTGAAACTGGACAGCCGGGTCAGTGATTCCTTTAGCTCTGTAACATAACAAAACCACAGAAAGTGTCAAAAAACTTATACTCCTGCAAGCTGTGTTGGTACTTATAAAGTAAGGTTAGCTATCTCCACCCATCCTTGAGATTCAGACTGGATTAGAACATTTCAGCACATTAGTTTCCATCTACGGAGACACTTCCTGTGCTAACTAAACATTACCAGTTCTTGTGGTTTTAGGATTTTAAGCTATTTATTGAACAAAAAGGTCTTTCAAACATTCTATGCATACAATTTCCTCAACAATATATAAATTGCAATCTCAATCTCAATCTTTGAAATTACTTATCCCAGAAGCTTGTGTGCAAAGAACCAAGAAACTGGAGTAGCTCAATACTGATCTTAATACAGAAGTCTGAGTATCATTTCTTGTTGACTGTGTTAGTCAAGGGAGACTTTATGCTGGCAGGGCAGAGATCTGACAATGACTGTGATGAGGGATAGAGAAACACTGGTACCTGAATTTGTGGCTGGACAAAAACAGGTGAAAGGGCTGAAGGCATTTCACCTTATTTATGAAGGAGAGGCCTTCCTACGTTAGTTTTGATGTAACATATGTGACTTTTTCTGTATGCTACAGAAAGTGGCATTTTCTCCTCCATTGTTCTTGAGAAGTGCTCTACTGAAAGGAACAAGTACAAACACAACAGCAAACCCAAAGGATTGCACATTTCCAGTAAACAATTCTGTCAGGCATAGCTGTGTTTTTTTGTTTATAATCCCAGCTGCAGTGTTTTCAAATTAGTGCAGAACCTGGAGAACAAGAGCTTAAGAAATTTACCTGTTACTACAAAGCAAGCTTAATAAATAGATCACATGCAGGCCAAGAGCCAATGACAATACTACTGCTGATTAACAAATTTGCATCTGAGTCCTCACAGTTTTTCCTTGTGCCTCCTTTGTGAAGTTGCAATGTAGACATAACTGTTAGATAAGTAAAAATAAATGGTGTTTGGTGCTCAAAGAAGTACAACTGTTTGATACTCTAAAGCAGCATTCCTGATGAGATGATGATGGGCAGGCTATCTCTGGTTTTTGGGGTTTTTTTGTGGGTTTTAACACTACTCTGTAAAACTTCATTAGTAAAATTAATTACAATACACGAATTTGGTATGTTCACTGGTAGTCAAGTTTTCTCATACTTAAAAGTCACCTTAGGCCCAGATATCCATTTATTTACACACTCAGGCTTAAAGTTTTAACTTTAAAGCTACATAACTTAAAATGAGAGTCTGATAAACACAATTTTTTTACTAACTCTAATTCTGAAGGAAGTAATTATTCATCCATTTTCTACTATCTTAAAAAAAACACTTCTGCAGCGTTGCATGAAACAAAATCTTGTTGCTTTCAAGAGCTGTTACCTGAGAAGCCTGGGACAGGCAGCACTCAAATGAAGTGGAAACCCATCATTTGTATCATGGCAAACAGACTGGTCACCTACTCTGCAGAGCATGAGAACTTAACAAGTATCTACATTCTTCTGAATTACTGCAACCCCAGGTCAAATGAACAGAAGGATGATGTGTCTGGACAGCGCTCCTTTCCAGGTAAATTGTTATCCTCACATAAGGCTGAGATGGCCTGGCTTGCACAGCCCAATCAGTTCATGTATTTTATCCCACTGACCTGCAGATGCAAGTAGATTTGAAAGAGTCCCCAGATGAAAGTGTCCCATTGTATTCTCACAATACAGACGCAATTGTTTAAGCGTGTAATTAGCAGTATCGCAATCCTGATGAGGTAAGATCTGATAAAATTTTAACACCTGAAGTTATCAGACTATTTCTACACTATCTATTGCCCCCTCTGCCTCCTGAGCAGCAGTGTTACCCAGTGAACAGGGAGTTCAGAGGCCGCCAGACAAGCTCTGGCAAACCCTGCTGCTGCCAATTCTGCAAGTTGCCAGCCCTTGGTTTTGCTGCTCTGCACAACAGTAACCACTGAGAGGACTGGCAGCAACCAACTGTGGAGGACAGCAAACTATCACTGCAGCAAGAATTTCACCAGCATCCTCTCAACTCACTGCTGCTGAGAGCCACCACAATCAGTCTATAGCTTGTGTTACTTGATTCAGAAATCCTTTGCAAAGAACCTATGTTGGAGTGAGAGGAGGGAACAACTTACTGGCATAACTTAATACCGTAGAGAGCTTCCACTACGTGAATCAACCAGGATATCCAGAACCTGGTGGAAAGAAAACATGGTTTATTTTGTTGAAAATCAGGGAGAAGGCTGTTGTATCCAAGATGCATTATGCAGAGAATATAAATCTAGAAGCACTGAAGTGACAACTTATTTTAACCTAGAAAGGAAGGGGTGTTTTTCATCTTGAAAAAAACCCACAAGTGTACTTCAAAGAAACTGAAGTCCACTGAGAAAATCAGAACAATTGTAACTTGTGCAAATAGGCCTTGACCTGCTATTTGAAGTATCCACTAGGCTTCCAAAACTTTCAGCACTTAGATTAAGCCAAAAAGCCAAATGCTTAGTGAAAGCAGTACAAGTTAATCTTAGTTAAGCATGCAAAATCTATCCTTTTACTTACACAAGTATTTTTAGTGGTCCTAAAGAGCTACTTAAGTTTTTACAGATTTAGTTCTACAAAAACAACTGTATGTATAGATTCAGAATATATAATGTGACTTCATAAGCCACACTTGGCCTACAAATTTTTATACAGAAGCTTTTGTAGGAAAAAAAAAAAGACAGGATATTCAGTTAGGATTAATCCAATACCTTGCTAAAGCAAAAGATGTTCTGAGAAAAGATGAAGGTTCTACATGATGAATGGAAAAATAAACAAGAAAGCCCTACTGATTTCTAGCTTTACAGGAAGTCACTGAGCTCAAGGAAATATTTTTTGGCTCTTTTGTTAATTAAAGTAGCAAAAATTAAGTTTTGTACCCCAGCAAAACTTAGCACTATGCAATTTATTCAGCAGGTTATTTCTCATTAGATCAGAATAAGTGAGTACCAGGGTACAGTATGTGCTTTAATTGAAGCTGGATGTAAAAGACTCCTAAAGAAAGAACTGCTCAAGTAACAACTAGAGGAAAAAAAAGACTTTCAGTAGCTGATACAAGTATAACTTTGGGCTAATAACTCATCAAAAGCAGTATCTTAACTTTTTTCCCTTTCTTGTTAAGCCACCAGTGATGCCAAACTCGAAGTTGAATTTTTAAACTATCAAACTGGTCTTATCCTGTCTAGTCCTCTACATACTTATTACCCCACACCCTTAATTGTAATGAGCTTGAAAGGAGAGCTCTTTAAATCTAATTAACAACTGGGTTACAGGAAAGCTTGGTAACACAGACTAAGTACAAGAGTCAGAGAGAGGCAAAATAATGACACAGTCAAATATAACTTACCCGTAGCATACCCATTTGTGGTGGTGCTCCACTAAATAATTAAGAAAGGTACCAAATATTCCCAAGTAACTATAAGGTATAGTGGAAGGCCAAAGTGTTACCCACTAGGAAAAAAAAAAAAAAAAGAAGAAGATAGTTATCTTACTTCAAGGTAGAATCAATTTAACCTTCAAAATAGCTTTATTTTTGAACCCCATTAGTTTAGGGCTCATTTATTCTTAGTACTTAAATTCTTTCATTCCACTAACCTTGTCCAAGGACCATATTCTTCCAGTAGCCTTTGAAAGATAACAACTAGGGAATTTCTATTCCTTGACATACCAGATGCCAAGGGGATAAGTTTAAGGTTGCTGTCTGGGTACCAAGAGTGCATCTGCATGTTAAGTGGCCTTTAAGTTGTAAGCTCATTACCTATTAGACATGGAAGCTGCAAAACCTACATTGTCTCTGTCCTGAAGAAGTTAATCTGAGGCAAGTGACCTGAAGAAGCCAAACAATAAGTACACTGTATAAGAGGAATAACTATTTATCTAAAAGTAGGGGATCAGTCTTCTTTTGTCCCCTAAAAAAGAAAATGTCAGATTTTTTTTTTATTTTTAACAGGGCACAGAAGATAACTAAGCACGACTCCCAAGACCAGAGATGCAGTTTCTTTCCTGTCACAGAGCTGTCCACGGTGTTTACCACTGTGCACCCTGATTTCAAAGCCAGGGAGGAGAAGCAGGCAGTGAGTGATGAGCTGTGCACTTCAGAGTCCATTGGGGATGTAAAGTGACCGCTCGGTCAGGCCAAAGTTCACACTGCCTTCTGGTATCAACACTGCAGTTTCTCACTAAATGTAAGTTTAGCTATACCAAAGATGTGGCAAGGTGATGGGTTTAAACAGGGAATCTGCTTAAAGCTCATTCTGTTTCTTGAAACAGTGCAAAAACTGTTTTGTGAGTTGTTTGACGTGCCTTGACCATCATTTTTACAGTGATGGTTCTTAAGTTTAGAAAATCTGTGCAAACAGAAGGAAAATCACATGTGAAAGTCAAGGAATGACTTTCATAAACTCCTCAGATACATCGAAATAGCCATTAATATCCCTGCTCCAGTAATCCAACTTAAGGTAGCCAAAGCCCGTTTAAAGAAATTAAGATAACATGGTGGCTAAACTCTTGTGTTTTCCAACACCATCACCTCGTACAGCCCGTGCCTAAAGCCCTTACCTGTAAATGCACCTTATGGACTGACATGCCCCACCGCTGCCCGGGAGCGAGCTGTGTCGATGCTCAGTGCCTCAGCTCCCAGTTCTGGGAGTGCTGCAGCCCCTTCCCGGGGCACCAGTCCCGCACAGCCCCGCGCCCCGGGATGCTCTGACCGGGCCCGGGACGCGCCCCCAGCGCCACGGCCCCGCTGCCCTTCGCAGGCCAAGCGGTTTCTCCCTCACACTGGCCTTCCTGCACGGCTCTGCCCAGCCTCCTCCCTGCGCAGCCAAACCAGCACCTCTGGTCACCCTTTTCTCCCCGTTTATTTCAGGGAGCGGCGTTTCGGCGGACAACGGGACGCTTCAGGGAAGCTGTTCCACGCACCCCGCGGCTTCTGAGTGGACTCCCTCCCTCCCCCCCCGCGCCGCTCCTTACGCCGAGGAGGATCATGCCGAAGATGATGGCGACCATCCAGATGAGCCGGGAGCGCTGGAAGTGGCAGCTGCCATCGCGGCCGCGCTCCGCCGCCGCCGCCGCCATCCCGCCGGGCCGCGCTGTGAGCTCGGGCCGCGCCGCCGCCGCCGCTAAGGCCGGGCTGAGGGGGGCGGTGCCGGGCGGGAGGGAGGCGGGCCTGGGCGGGCACTGCCCTCGGGCCCGGGGCGGGGGCCGGCCTGGCACCGCCCACCTGCGGCTGGAAGGAGTCCCGGTGCTACCGAGTGTGGGCTCCTCCCGGACCGAGGGCAGAGTGGCTGGGAAGTGGCCCAGCGGAAAAAGACCGGGGGTGCTGGTCGGCACTGGCTGAATATGAGGCAGCACGGTGCCACTTGGCCAGGAAGGCAAATGGCAGCCTGGCCTGGATCAGCAATAGTGTGGCCAGCAGGAGCAGGCAAGGGATCATCCCCCTGTGCTTGGCACTGGTGAGGCCACACCTCGAGTGCTGTGTCCAGTTCGGGGCCCCTCAGTTCAGGAAGGATGTTGAGCTGCTGGAATGTGTCCAGAGAAGGGCAGCAAGGCTGGTGAAGGGTCTAGAACACAAGCAATGTGAGGAACAGCTGAGGGAGCCAGGGTTGTTTAGCCTGGAGACCAGGAGATTCAGGGCAGACCTTATCGCTCTGTACAACTGCCCGAAAGGAGGGTGTAGCCAGGTGGGAATTGGTCTCTTGTCCTAGGCAGTCATTGTCAGGACAAGAGGACATAGTCCAGAACCACACCAGGGGAAGTTTGGGGAGATTAGACATGGAAACGGGCTTCCCAGAGAGGTGGTGGTGTCACCGTCCCTGGAGGTGTTTAAGAAAAGACGATGTCTCAGTGTCATGGTCTAGTTGACAAGGTGGTGGTATTCGGTCATAGATTGGACTCGGTGGCCTCGGAGCTCTTTCCCAACCTAATCGATTCTGCGATTCTGTACCGAACGCAGCGTGGAGCAGCACAGAAGTGGGAGCCCGGGCCCGGGTGCCGGAGCGCCCTCTCGTGGCACCGAGCGGGGCGGAGGCGGCTCCCGGCCGTGTCCCCGGTGCCACCCGGGCGGGCGCGGGGCCGTGCCTGGCCCTGCCGCAGCACACCCGGGGGCGCAGGCTGCGGTGGCGCTCGCTGCTGGGGTGAAGTGAGCAGCTATTGACCTTCCTACCGATGAAAAGTTCAGTCGTTACCTAGAACAGTACAGAGTATCTATCTTTTTGAAAACTAGCGATTCTAAGCGTACTGAGCGCAGCATTTTCTATTCTCTGCCCTTTTGGGAATGTGGTCTCGGTAATGAGTCACCAGGGCCTTGGGACAGGTGCTCAGGGGTAGAAATGTTGGGAGGTGGGTTGGGCGGGTTTATACTTTCCTTTGAGCTTTGCTATCTGTTTGCTTGGCTTGACTGACAGTGTAGAGACACTAAAATGTTGACTATGCTCTTCTCTCTCCTTGCCTGAAGGCTAAACACGCTGTTCTGTTAATTTTGTGTTAATGACATGCCTGTGCTTTCTCCCCTCCCCGCCCTCTCTTTTTTTTTGTCCTTTTTTTTTGGGGGGGGGGGGGGGGGTTTTTTT